GCTGGGATTACAGGCACGCGCCACCATGCCCAGCTAATTTTTTGTATTTTTAGTAGAGACGGGGTTTCACCATGTTGACCAGGATGGTCTCGATCTCTTGACCTCGTGATCCACCCGCCTCGGCCTCCCAAAGTGCTTCTTTGGCTTCTTAACAGCAATCTATTCTCACAGTTCTAGAGGCTAGAAGTCTGAAAACAGTTTCCCTGGGCAGAAATGGTTTTGTCAGCAAAGCCACGCTCCCTCAGAAGCCTCTAGGACAGAACCTGGTCTTTCTTTAAGCTGCTGGTGACTGCCAGCATTCCTTAGTAGCAACATCACTCCAGCCTCTGCTGTCTTCACATCACCTTCTCTGTCCAATCTCCCTGGCCTGTCTCTCATGAGGGCATTTTGTGATGGCATGTAGGACCCATCCAGATAGTCCAGGATAATTCCTTGTCATAGGACCTTTATTTTAGTCACACTTACAAGAACTTTGCCATTTAAGGCAACATTCACAGGTTCCAGGAATTAGGACCTGGTATTGATGGTTATTATTCAGCCCACCACTGCCACTGAGGTTCATCTGTAGAAAACCCCCCCAAACAAGACACCCTAATACAAGGTAAAATTTGTCTCAGGAGTCTGGAGATAGCCCAGGGCAGCTGAGGCAGTTGTATAATATTGGTGGGGACCCAATCTCCTTCCAAAGTACCACTTGGCCATCCTTAATGGGGCCATTTTCCTCATTGTCCAAGGTGGCTCCTAGAACTCCAACTATCAAGAGCTTGTTCCGGACAGTAGAGGAAGAGGAAGAAGAACATTCCACTTTGCCTTAAAGAAGACTTTCTGTAAGTACCACAGAACACTTCCAGTTGTTTATGTCAAGAACATGTTAGTCACATGACTATACCTGGCTGCCAAGGGCACTATATCCTCTAGTTGAGTGGCAGTGTGTTACATCAAATGACTTCACAGTTTTGTTTAGGAGGAGGAAGGAGAATGAATGTTTGGGTAACTAGCAGCCTTTGCCATGGCGTATGACTGCCGTCGAATTCTACATGTCTAAAAACTTTGGTTAAGGAAAAAACTTTGGTGTACAGCTGGCTGTGCTCTTTGAATTTAAATGTGTGTAGTAACTCCAGGATAGGTGCTATATTTATCCCCAGTTTACAGGTTGGGAACAGTGAAATCCAGCAGATTGATGGGAGGATACAGCAGATGCCTCTCAAATGCACTCACATCACTTTGGCACACCTCTGGCTTTCACTGTAGCTGTGGTGAACAGTTATATGTTAACTTAGAGCTCCCCTTGCACTGCTCAGGCACTCCATATGCCTTTTGACATTCTGCCTCAGGCACTTTTCCAGAGCTCACTCGACTAGGAAGCACAGCCTGGGAATACACAGGGCAAGTTAGCAATCCCAGAAAAACCCTTAATAATGCTAGACAAGAGCTTGAGGATTAAGGTTCCAGTCTCTCACCTTTCAAGTGGAAAATTAGGAGGAATTTTTTACTCTTTTCTGGAGCTCCCAGTGCTCATACCATCAACCTTTAGAACACTTTATATTGTCATTTCCTCCTGTCCTGTCTCACTTACTGGGTTCTTTTAGTCCTGCTTCCTGGGATCATCTCCTGAGTAAATGGGCATTCGAGTTCTTGTCTCAAGCCCTGCCTTCATGGGAACCCAAACTAAAGAGAGGAAGACAGAACCTTCAGGCAATAAGAATGTGTCTTATATTCCAGTAGTCAATATGAGTAGTCTACTCAACTGGAATCTTTTAGATGTTAGAGGATGGCCCCGATGAGCATTTCTGTGATGGAATCCCATTCTGTTTTCAGTGGTGGCTGCACATTTCTGATTTCTACTTGAAAGAAGCTTCCTCTCAGAGCAACTATGCTGTGGGGCACAATGTTTTTCTGTGTATCAGTAACGTGCATAATTTTAGATAGACTAAGTTGTTTCTGTAACTATAGCTCTGAGTATTCAGGAGCTAAAACATGGTAAATATCACAGTGATCAGCCTGTGAGGAGGAGCTGGCAAGGCATGTCCCTCAGATTATCAACTAAAATGAGCACTTGGGGTCGTGCAAATAAAAGAGTCCTTAGTAGTGTGCCACATACAATAAATGATTTTATTAATTACTCAACATTTTTTTTGAGACAGGATCTTGCTCCTCCACCTAGGCTGGAGTGCAGTGGCATGATTATGGCTCACTGCAGCCTTGACCTCCCAGTCTCAAGTGATTCCCATACCTTAGCCTCCCTAGTAGCTGGGACTACAGGCATGTGCCACCGCACCCAGCTAATTTTTATGTTTTCTGTAGAGACAGAGTTTCACTATGTTGCCAGGCTTGTCTAGAACTCCTGAGGTCAAGCAATCATCCCACCTTGGCCTCCAAAAGTGCTGGAATTACAGGCATAGGTCACTGTGCCTGGCAACAAATATTTATTTAGTGACTTCTGTGTGCTAAGCAACATGCTAGCTGATAGCACATGATGATAGAACATGTTACTGATGAGCAACATGGAGCATCTCTCCAGTTCCTGCTGCTACCGCCCTGTTCTGAGCCACCAAC